GATTGTTCTCCCTGTTAGGAAATTTCTCCTTAGTTCTAGGTTGGATCTCCCCTTAATAATCTTCTACCCATTACTTCTTTTCCTGCCCTCAGGTGCTTCCTCCCCCCCTTTTTTTGGTCCATTATAGTCAGTGGCCCAGAAAAACTTGTGAACTCATGTATAACTGATTTATTTTGCTACCTTGCATGACAAGCATTGTCCATCTAATCATTTGAAATTGGGAGTTGCCACAAAGAAGAGGGAGTCAAGCTTTTCTCCAAAGCACCTGAAGGCAAGACAAAAAGCAACGGATGGAAACTAATCAAGGAGGGAACCAGCCTAGAACTAAGGAGAAATTTCCTGACAGTGAGGACAACTAATCAGTGGAACAATCTGCCACCAGAAGTTGTGAATGCTCCAACACTGGAAGTTTTTAAGAAGAGATTGGACAACTATTTGTCTAAAATGGCATGGGGCTTCCTGCCTGAGCAGGGGGTTGGACTAGAAGACCTCCAATGTCCCTTCCAACTATTCTATTCTATTCTATTCTATTCTATTCTATTCTATTCTATTCTATTCTATTCTATTCTATTCTATTCTATTCTATTCTATTCTATTCTACTCTATTCTAATATCTATTCTGTTCTGTTCTATTCTAATATCTATTCTAATATCTACTCTATTCTATTCTATTCTATTCTAAATATGGAAATGTATCTTAGATGGAACTTCCCTTTTTGGGGGGTTTGGAACAATTGATTCTCACTGTTCCCACCCAAATGGCCCTGAGAGTACCAATAACAAAATATGATGATAAAGGGAAGAAGAGGAAAAAAATGCTACTAAGCTAATATTTGTAATGGCATTTCAGTTTGTTTCTTAACTGTTTCTTTGTCAAAATATTTTTTGCTCCCAGAAAAGTCTGTCTGTGGGCAGGTCAAGCATGCTTGGTGATGGGCAGCCTACCTCAGTGGAAGTCAGCTTGAAACTTTTGAATCTAACATCTGTCTTCAGAGTGGAGCAGCTGGCATGGTGGGTGCTAAACAAGCCTTCAGAAGCAACTGAATGTCTCAGCAGAGCTTGGCCATCTGCCATGTGCGCACGCAACAGCAACTATAGCAACAGCAACTATAGAAGGAACTTTATGGTCCCTCTTCAAACAACAAGTTATCGCCAAGGTGTTTTGCCATCCTTGAAAAGTCTGCATTATCATCAAAACAATACCTTATGAATATCCTTGTAGGTCACCATGAGACTTGCCATAAACAATTGTGTATTTTTATCATGGTTTGTTGAATAAACCACAACTTTTGAGCAACACACATAGCCCAAACCAAGGAAACCACATTCCTGCTTAATGGAAGGCATGAATCCAGCCAAAGTTAGGCCAAAATGTGCATTCTTCCTCTTTCAAGGAAGGAGGAACTTCCTCTCCTCAAAAAAAATGTGAGCTGCTTAGAGAAGAGCAGTGGAGGGATCCCAGATATTGAAGCAGCCCTTCTTCTCTGAAAAGCACTTTTTTTTAGTTTAGAAAAACAAACCCAATCTAGCCTATGACAGAGGTCCATAAAGTGGTGTTAAGATGTTTGCCTTGCTCTTCTGCATATTAAGACTAGGGTGAATTGTCAGAGCGATTTATTGGCAGCTGGGTTGAGGACCTACAGTATGTAAGAAAGCCCGTGTCCCTAGACTTTGGATCTCATTCCCCTCAATAGCTCAACCAGGAAGGCTTTCGAAAGTACATTCTACCTATTCATGAAGGGAGACAGGTAAATGGGCTTGAACAATGGTTAACAAGCATAACATCCACGGTTGAAGATGGCAGAGATCAGCTTGCTAAGGGAAAGAAGCAAGACATATTCTAGTTATGAACCCACTTGCTCTGGTTGAAGACAGACCTTGAAGGGAAGGCTTCTGGCCCAGATAGGTTAGATGCTAAGAGCTTCACCAGAATTCGCTGTGAGGCTAAAGCATGACTACTAACCCCTTGGATTTCATATGATGAAATGGGACCACAATGTGTATTTATTTGGATCTGTATTGAGGACATTTTCCACTATTCCAGAGATGACTAGAAGGAACAACTGTCTCTCTGGGCTTGTAACATTCTTATTCAAAGCTCTTCTCTGTCTGCTGCAACACAAAAGTTGGGCCTCCAGTTGCACAAGGAAATAAATTCTTATTTGCCATCTAAAGCCTTTCAAAGAGGTGGCCCACCAGCTTCACCAACCACCAACAGGAGTCATAGCCTTATATTTTATAGAAATATACGAATATTGGTACATTCTGTTAGTCAAAACCCTTCTTTTGATGTGTTCACATCATGCTAAACCCAGGTTAACAAAACACAAGTGCACTCTTCACCAAACAAACCATCTTTACCTTCAAGAAAATGAGTCAAGCAAGATGCTAACAGAAAGGTTGAGTTCCCCCCAATATAGTGAAACACAAGCTATCTAACCCTGTTTTAGAGCTTTGTGCGAATCCAGAGGTTCTGCTGTAGCCTCTGGATGCAATTCTCAGAACCATAAAACCCATACTAGCTGGGAATTCTGGGATTTGCAGTCTGAAAGTGCCAGAGAAGGCCAAGTCAAGAAAGAGAATTCAATTATACAGGCAAGTTGTGAACTAGATGCTGCTTTGACTGTCTCTCTGTCTGTCTGTCTGTCTGTCCATTCATCCATTCACCCATGTATCTATGATAATATCAATAGGCTAAATGTATTAGGGGTTTCTATAGGCCATCTTTGGATAACTTAATTCAAACCAGAGTTTTACTTCTTATTATCTGCAGACCCCACCATCTTACCCTATTTGATTTATATGAGAAATTGGAGAGCCACTGTTAAAAACAGTTCTCTAAATTAAGTCTTTTTTATTATTCAGGAGCTCTCAAGAAAAAATGTTTAAATATTTATTTATAAGTGGTTAGTTAGAAATTAATTTGCCTTGAAAATTGCCAGTTTTTGTTCATAATCCTGGTATAATTTATTGCTTTACAACAGTGTTTTTCAAAGTGGGCAACTTTACGATGTGTGGAGCTGAAGTTCCAGAATTGTCCAGTCCCACAAATCCACACATCTTAAAGTTGCCAAGCCTCTCATTTACATCAAGGTGACTAGATTGGAAGTTCTGCAAATCCTTTTTAACACAAATCAAAAACTAGAGATGAGAGACAAGACCAAGTAAGGCACAAGTAACAAAACAGTCTTTGCTAACCCTTTCCCCTCACTCAAAGTCCTTCAAATGTCTTTAGAATACTATAATCAGCTTCCAAATGAGGGAGGTTATGAATTCTGAATATAGTAGCTCAAGGCATCTAAAGAAGTGTCATATTTAGTATATTTAATCAAAATCTGTGAATTTATAAAACTCACATTGTACCGAATCTTATTTAACAACAACAGAATGTTGTGGTTCTCGTGCTACTTTGAACCATGAACTCACCAAACAGCCTGGGGCCACACAACAAATTCAACTGGATATTTTTTTTACTACTGTGACTAAATCTTATCTAGCATATCACATGATATGAAGACAGGTAGAACGTTATGGAGACCTATTACCAGTGCTTTTTTTTTGAAAAAAAAAAGGTGCCAGAACTCATACATGTCATACAACCCGCCTTGCCTACCCTACAAGGTTCCATCCAAAAAAGGTGCTGGAACTCCATTCTGGGCGTTCTATGACAAAAAAAGCTCTGCCTATTACTAACTGGTTAAAATATACTAATATATTAATCTGGCATTATTTGCATCTGACTAGTTGGTTAATAAAATATTTGCAAGCAAATTACGAAGCTCAGCCCCAAGAACTCCACAGCTAAGCCCTGAGCTACATCTATTCTATATTTTAATATTAGCCTTAATGCAGCTGTAACTAATTCTCTTATTACCTGCTCTAGTTTTAGCATCAAGGGAAACAATTTTCCAGAATGTCTGAGGCGCGTTTTTATAAAATCATGTGCAATCTCTTTCTCCTGCCCTCTTGGTTAAATCCATTGTTATTAACATACTGGAGGGTACTCTATCAAGAGATCAAACGTCTTTTCTGCTTCTTAGATTCTTGCATTCTGAGGGGCGTCTAGCCTGCTATGCAAGAGACCCTTTTATCCTGAGCACCCATTTGAAATGTTAATGGCGGTTAGCCTGGAAATGAACCCAGGTGAGTAGGATCCTTGCTGTAAAAGTCCCTCTGGTGACCGAAATCTTTCCATGCCCACAAGCCTTGCTCCTTAAATGCCAGTTCGGTCCTGCTGTCATGCAAATAAATTTTAAGAGGTGTAAAGTTCACCATTCTGGGTTGATTTCAAGTGCAGGGGGCTGATGCAGACTCACAGGTATTTAGAGGAAGAAGCTTTGAAATAAAGGAGACTATCTGTAGCTCAGGGCTGAAACCAGGGGTCCGCTGTGCTCTCTGAGCTTGCTTGTTTTCTCGCAGATGTTTCCTTATCCAAGCCAGGTAACATCATCACTGCTAATAAGGCTACCTAGTTTGGGTAATGAAACATCTGCAAGACAACAGAGAGCACCGAGGACCCCTCAAGCTTTGAAATAAAGAGGATTGTGGTGAAGATTGTAATGTGCATTGTGTATGGCAAGAAAACAGGGTTGGTCTGCAGGAGTGCCAAAATCAGCTTTTTTTTTCTGATTTATTCCTGAGCTGCAATGCCAGAAGGATTGTTTAGCTGGTTTGCATTCAAGCCTCCAAATCCTGACTTTTTCCGGAGCAGATCCCACTCGGTGCCACAGCAATTCTATCCCTTATCTGGTATCAGGAGCTGAAGGTTTTTTGTTTTCCAAAAAGTCAATTTCTTCCTCTTCCAACCCATTTTTCCTTACTCACCCTTCCCCTTAAAGGAGCCTTTTTTAATGAATACATCATGTGATCATTTGCCAGGAGAACCAGATGAGAAAACCCCACTTCAGTTTGGGAGAATGTGTCCCTTTGGTTTCAGAAAGTGGCCAGCACCAGGAAAGGCTTTGGAGAGGGAAAGGGGGGGGGTTAGGCTGCCAACATACCTGTTGAAGTAGATTGGGCTGTTTTCCTCATCCATTCGTAGGAGCCGTGCCGCTGGTTGAGGGGAGGAGAATTTGCCTCGGAATTCATGGTGTCCAGAGAAGGTAAAGTCAGAGAACCAGCAGGATTCAGAGAACTGTAATCAGCAGAAGAGAAGGAGACTTGTCCAGGAGAAGACCTGTTGATCTGGGTGGAAGTTATGGTGCTGGAGGTTCCTAGGCCATAAGCACCCCAATCCTCCCTGGGCAGCCCGTAATGTGTCCCCCATGTCCCTGAAGGTTGTCCACGATTCTCCATACTTTGGGGATGATGGTATCCTATGTAATCTACATAAGGTGTAGAAGAAGGAAAGTTTTGTGCTGGTAGATTGCTGCTGCCGTTGCATCGTACAGAACCTGGATACATCCTGGCTTCTTTTTCCAAAATATAACTCACATAGATGAAGTTCATCCCCTGGCTTCTTCTTGGCCAGGCATCCTGCTCCCTGGGGGAGGGGAGGCTGATTTCACACGTCCTCTTCTCTCTCCCTCTCTCTCTTTTTCAAGCCTAAACCTAGACTGGCTTTGCCGACGATTCAGGAGGTGTCTTTACTACCCATCCTTGACAATAGGATCCCTGGTGCTGGGCTAGCAGTGGATTGAGGTTCTGCCTAATGTCAAAGATAACTGGCTACTCCCAACCATTTGCATTCAAATGAAGGGTTGGTCATCCTGCAACCCCACCTTAGAGTTGGCTTGCTGATTTCTCATGGAGCCTTCCAGTCCTGGGCCAGGCACGGATTCAGTGTGTTTGTTCTGGGAATCTTGGAAAAAACAAAGTACAACTAACTCCAGGCTAAGTCATAATGTGATTTCTTTGATTTGGGATTATTTATTAGGGTTGTGTGCCATCCATCTCATCTAGAGGCAATTCTGAGTGACTTGCAAACATTAAAACCAGTATCCGTTAAAGGGATAAACCAATAAATCACAATAATAATGAGAGTTTATCAGTAAAAGATGGGAGGAAAAGGGAGCGCGAAAATTAGCATTGTATAGGAATCCAGCCAATGTGGTTTGTAACTCATTGATCATCATTGTAGGTGAGCTTTTAAACTTATTCAATATTCATCTCATTCCAGATGTGATAGATCTTTATGTCACAAAGAGCAAAAGCTTTTAATTGTAGATAGATGTGTGTTCAATTGCAATTAATGGCACAGCTCAACAGTTGAATGAATGTGTGCATGGAAAGGCATTTATCTGCAATTTCATGAAAAGATGTCATAAAATTATTTTTAATGAAAGAAATAAGGAAGAATTTAAGGTACATCTGGCAGACAAAGCTTGTGATTAAAAAAACAAAAGAAAGTTATGACACAAACCATTTCATCCTCTTCATTCTTCAGGGTTATAGCAGCTGATTTGTATTCTCTGAGAAGTTGGAGAAAAATATTGGGGTGTAAACTGTTTTGACACTGTTTCTTGATGAGCAACCAAAACATCATAAAAAGGGATGGGAAAAAAAAATAAAAAATTTCCTTAAGGATGTGCTACTTAGTTGACTTTTGTGAATGACCTGACACTTTTGAGGGAACTCTGCCTTAAAGAGGTGAAAAGTGTTTGAAGATTGCTTTTCTTTAAGCAGCTTGAGATGTTTGGCTTCTAAATTTAGAGGCATTTTTTTAACTGTGTGGAGTGAATAGATTTGTTGTTTTCTGCTTTTTTTTTTAAAAAAAAAAATAAAGATTCCTACATCAGCTGGGAAAAACTTTGGAATGGTTTTGATGATGTAGTTTCTGGAATAACCTCACGTGAAGAATTAATTTATAGGCTGTACAGGCAGGTCCAGTCTGAGACACCAGAAATAAAATATTTACTCGTGTGCTTTTCTGCCTGTGTTGTTTTTAGTCCATTGAAGTCAGTGGTCCAGTAATCCTGAAACCTAAACGATGTTTTTTCTTTGTTGAGTGCAAGACATTGATGGATCTGATCATTTCAAATATTAAATTATACTTTTGGCATTTGTGGAATTTAGTACAGTCCCTCTCCAACTCCCTAAAATTTATTCTTGATATACAGAATAAATGAATAAGTTTCTGAATGGAATTTTCTATTTTACCTTATAAGCTGTGCTCTTTTATATGATGTCCTGATTGTTGAGATCAGGGGTGGCAATTTAAGACCTGTGGACTTCAAATGGCTGGGGAATTCTGGGAGTTGAAGTCCACAGGTCTTAAAGTTGCCAAGATTGGACACCCCTGATTTAGACAGAGCATTTCCCTGTTTTTAGCAGACTCTGCCATCGGTGTTGATGAAGGATAGGACAAATACTGGATTCACACATTCACACACATTTAGTTATGGTTTGAGGGGTCCCTAGTGCTCTCTGAGCTTGCTGGTTTTCTTGCAGACGTTTCATGACCCAAACTATGTAACATCATCAGTGCTAATAGTGCTAGTTTGGGTCATGAAATGTCTGCAAGAAAACAAGCAAGCTCGGAGAGCACCAAAAACCCCTCAATTCAACCCTGAGCTACAGATATTCTCCTTTATTAGTTATGGTTTGTTTAATAAGCTTCAAATGGGCTAGGTTCATAATGGTGAGCCCTAAATTCTGGTATAGCAGTCACAATGGGTTTGCACAATAAGTTAAAACTAAAGAAACCATATTTACCTTACCACAAAGAAGTTGTGGGAATATACCCACGTCAGGATACAAATTACTACACTGTAGAACTACCAACTGGGGAGTGGAAGTAGAAATTGACTGGGATCCTGATCTGCTTCATTTAATGTGCTTCTCCATCTCTAACCTTCTGTGTTAGGACAAAGTGGTCACCATTGTATTGCTGACTTACAGAACTAGATGAATCTCTAAATAAGATGTAATTGTTTGTGCCTCCATAAGTTGTGGGAACCCTGCCATAGTCTAGTATGTTGTGGGAACTGTTTAACAGCAGATGGCAATACTTAGCAAAGCTGAGCCATGTTGGTGAGCTGGAGAGACGTATTGAAATTTGGCTAGGTTTAGATGGAGGAGAACCAAATAGGAATGATCTGGTAATGGTACTTTTGAAAAAGAGGTTAGAAATGCAGAAGGTTGCAAACTGTGCACCAGCAGTGATGACGTGGCTGCAGAAAAGAGCTAAATGCGGTTTCAGGCCACATCAGTAGAAGTGTAATTTCCAAAGGACAGGAAATTCTTATTTCATGTTATTCTGCCTTGGCTTACAGCATCTTGACTATGCTGTCCAGTTAAGAAGGATTCAGAGAAATTAAGTCCTATGAAGTGGGATGGGAAGTTCAAGGCATGTTTAACCCTGAGAATAATAGAATAACAGAGTTGAAAAGGGATCCTGGAGGTCTTCTAGTTCAACCCCCTGCTCAAGCTGGAGAAAAGATGGCTGGGTGGGGATGTGTGTATTGGCCACTGTGTAACTGTAACCCTCCTTAATTCTTGTTAATTTCTGAAGACTTTGGGCAGGCAGGGAAGGAAGGAGAAAAGGTCTCCTCAAAATTGAAAGGGTCTGGTGGACATTCTTGTTTAGTATACGGGGAACCCCTTATGGCAAAACCATGGCAGGACTTGCTTCGTAGAAACTCTACAAACGCACCACTTTAGTGAATAGCCCGGGACTTCCTTGTTTGCTTTCATAAACCCACCTGGTTTTCTTTTCTTTCACTGCTTCTTTGGTAACTAATTTGCTTCGGAAAAAACTCTAGAGAACAAAACAATGACCTCTGTCCCTTCCCCCAGGCAGATGTGCCCATAAATCAGCAAAGGAAGAAAGTGGATTCTCCCCCCCCCCTCGTTTACTATGGCATCAGATCTAGCCTTCCAGCAACTGCTTGTTTCTAAGGTAATTGTTCAACCTGGGATTCTTTCTTGAACCTTTTCCTATCTCCTCATTTTTGAGGCTAAAATTCTCTAGCATTATGGCTTGCTCATTCCTCTTTTTTGGCGTGGGGAGATGAGAACGTGGCTTGATTTCAAATGAATGTCAGCAGCATTTTGTTTCATCCATGGGCCAATCTGTGAGATTAGGTCTCCAATGAGGAGAGATTCAGGAAAGCCACCCTGTGTGGTCATTTAATTGTGCAGCCATCATACACAACCTGAGTAGAACAGCTTTGGGATTAAATTACTGAGAACTTAAACACCTACTTGAGATAGTAAGCCCATCCATTAGCTTACTCCTGGATCCCCAATGTGGCACCTGTGAGTGAGAAGTCCACCAAGATTGGTTGATCACTAAGCAGGTCCACGTCCACCTATTTTTATTTCTTTCTTCTTCTTCTTGCGCCATATCCATTATCGGACGTTGGCGATCATGTTGGCGATCCTGTTTTTATCAGCAGCTGCACGAAAAAGTGCTGCTGAGTTTTGTCCAAACCAGTCCCTTAGATTTTGAAGCCATGATGTTCTTCTTCTGCCTGGACCTCGTTTGCCTTCCGTCTTTCCCTGGAGGATTAAATGGAGCATGCCGTATTTTTCTGGGTGTCGCATCACATGTCCGAAATATTCTAGTTTTCATTTTTTAATTGTTTTGATGCTTTCCCTTGGCTTTCCCAGGTGGCTGATCATCTCCTCATTTCTGATCTTCTCAACCCAGCTTATACATAACATCGCCTATAAATCCACATTTCAAATGCTTCTAGTCTCTTCAGGTGGCCTTCTGTCAGAGACCAACTCTCTACTCCATAGAGCAGGATAGAAAAAATATAGCATCTGACAAGCCTGATTTTGGATGGGAAAATAGCAGGCTAGCAAACAAAGCATTAGCTTTAACCTAATCTGGAATTCCAAGTGTAACTTTGAACCCCACGTAGACCCCAGAATATAAGGGGCTGAAGGAAAATGCTTTGGTTTGAAAGGTGCTGAATGCCTGGAAAGAAATCAGGGATAAACCGAGATGGTAGAAAGCACTCTAAAGGGAGAAGGTAGAGAGCAATTAACCAAGTTCCCTTTTGAGAAAGAAATATTTTGCAATGGGCCATATTCAATATAGCAGCCATTTTGTGAGACTGCCCAAAATACATTTCCTATATTTCTAATGGATTAAAATGTTTGGGGAAACCTTGCTTAAGCCACGTTTGAATTAAACCAGTTTTTGTTTCTATGATGATATTTATAGCTAAACCGTGCTTTTTAAATCCATGATTTCTGAAGGAAAAACCACAACTGGGTTTATGGAGAGTTTTGTTTATTTGTTTGTGCATTCAAGCTAACGTTGATTCCTGGTGATTACCTGGATAAATCCCTTGGTTTCAGAAGTAGTTTGCCATTGCCTCATTCCTGGGGCTGAGAGAGACTGTCTGGCCTAGAGTCACCCCAATGGCTTTGTGCCTATGGCAGACTAGAACTCAGAGTCTCTTGGTGGCTTGGGCTCTAACTACTAGACCAGGGGTGTCAAACTGCCGGCCCACAGGCCGGATGCGTCATGGCGAAACCGT